GGAATTAGCCAATGCAGTTAAAGATTTTTTTTTTTTTAAATTTGAGAGTAAGTTATTTGTGGAGAAAAATATAACAAGATAGTTTAAAGGATTTTTGAAATCGTTAGTTTTTTAGGGTATTCTATTAAGTAGGTATGTGGCAGTTAGGAGTTTCTCCCTAATATTTTTTGGCACTTAATTTTTGAATAGCAGAGTTCAAATGCCTTCTAATAGATGACAGCAATTTTTTTTCTACTCCATTTTGTTGGAGAGTCAAGATAGAAGGATTGGTGGATGATTCTGGATTGGTGGATGATTCTTTCTTTATGAAATAAAGATGATAATGCATGATTAAAACAATCATGAGCATTATCAATCTTAAATACTTTGATGTTAGAATATAATTATTTTTGTATCATTGTAGTAAAAATGAGAAAGTTAATGCTGATATATATTTTTTATTTCATAAGATATATCTATATCATTCAAGTGCAAACATCAATAAAGGTGACAAATCCTATAGCTCCAAAAAAATTGGAGATTTTGGAAGGTTTCTAAATATATGATTGAATAATTAGAAAAGGAGTAGAGAATCTAAAACCACTGTCAAGAAAAATAACACGATGATATTTTGCAATTTCATAAGTCTCACAATGAGAATTTTTTACGTTTACATTAAAAAAAAAAAGAGAAAGAAACATATATTTTAGGGCTTTGAAAGAGATCTCTAATATATTGATGTTTTTAAATGACTTGTATTGATGACGAAAATGAAAGAACATGATAAGTGATTGTTGTTTTCAAGAAAATATAACTCATCATTTTCCTTAGCTTGCCCGATTGTATTCACCGTTGTGAGGTTTTGAAATACAAAATGATCAATAAAAAAATGTTACCTTGCAATTATTATCTTTAGTGATTTTATGGATTTATAGAAGATTTATTACAAGATGAGGAATATGCAATACATTACTGAAGAAAAATATGGATGGAGTTAAAATATTTCTTGGAAATTTAGTTTATAATCAAATTATGGCATGAAGACACATCTTGACTGATAGTTTACCTCTTTTTCTTCATTGCTTCGTGAAACAGTGACTTCTAGCTGGTAAATATGGATGTTGTAATTATGTTTTGTGATGCATGACGTGCTTCTTACTGCTATAGTAAAAGACCAGTCAAACTTTGCAACTTTACTCCATTGAATGCAGGAAGCTTTCAATTGATAACGTGCATCCATCACCCTCAAAGGTCGATACTTACAATGAGAACAGAACAAGAAAGCATAGATCGAACAAAACTGAACAAAGCTTTAGTAGGGTTGCCGGGATCTCAAGAAAAACACCTTTGTCAAAGAATGTCATAAACAACATACGTCGCTCACAAGTATGATTGACATGTTTTCTCATTTTTGATCTTATTTTTTTCCATTCTCTTATGTATTTTGATGCTTTTAATTATTTTAAGTAAAATCTAGTAGATTTTTAACTTTGTATCCTTCTCCCTTCAGGTTCCTCAAATCAGGGATACCTTGAAGCACCTTAGGGTGAAGGATATGCTGCCAGCTATTTGGTTTATTTTTAGTAGAAGAGGTTGTGATGCTGCTGTTCAGTACCTTGAGGATTGCATGCTTTTAGATGACTGTGAAGCTAGCGAAGTTGAACTTGAACTGCGGAGATTTAGGGTGCAGTATCCTGATGCTATTAGGGAAGGAGCTATAAAAGGTCTTCTGCAAGGAATTGCAGCACATCATGCGGGCTGCTTACCACTTTGGAAGTCATTTGTTGAGGAACTATTTCAAAGAGGTCTTGTCAAGGTTGTCTTTGCTACCGAAACACTTGCTGCTGGGATCAATATGCCTGCTAGGACAGCAATAATTTCATCTCTTATCAAAAGGGGTGAATCAGGACGGACACTTTTAAGCTCAAATGAGCTACTTCAGATGGCAGGTCGTGCTGGAAGGAGAGGTATTGATGAAGTTGGTTATGTTGTTCTTGTTCAAACTCCATATGAAGGAGCTGAAGAATCTTGTGAGCTTCTGTTCACAGGGCTTGAACCTCTTGTATCACAATTTACTGCTTCTTATGGAATGGTTCTTAATCTCCTAGCTGTATGTATCTTATTCGGAAGGTGTGAATGATCTGCTTCAGTTTAATTTTTTATTATTGTTTGTCCAAGTCTGTGACATGCTGAATGTTCACAGGGTGAAAAAGTTACTCGCATGTCAAGCAAATCGGCTAATTTAAAAACTTCTAGTTCCGGTAGGACATTAGAAGAAGCTAGGAAACTGGTTGAACAAAGTTTTGGTAACTATGTTGGAAGTAATGTCATGCTTGCTGCTAAAGAAGAACTAATAAGGATCAGGAAAGAAATTGAGTTGCTTTCAAAGGAAGTTACTGATGAAGCTATTGACAGAAAGTGCCAAGAGCAACTCTTGGAGGCAGAATACGCTGAAATCTTATATTTACAGGAAGAACTGAGGGTAATGTCTTAATCTCACAATTTTTTATTATTCACAGCACCTCTTTCTGATTTGTGCTTTCAATTAATAAAGATCTTGATTTTTCTATGATTTTTTAATGTTCAATTGCTGGCAGGATTAGTCACCATTTATTTATTCATTTTATGATTGAGTTTTGTGGCATATTACCATGATTAGGTTCGGGAGCTCATAATAAAATGATGCTGGAATTGATTGATGGGACAGGAGGCGAACTTCCCAACACTTGGCCGATCTAACCATTATAAAAAAATTTACATTCATAATGATGGTTTCACATGGACAATATACAACTACATACATAATTTAATTTAACAATTGATAAAAATATGTAAACATTTGCACGTGGACAATTTAGTAATTTGCAGCTACATAGTTTAATATAAAAATTGATAAAAATGTGTAATTATCCAAATCCAAAGACATCTGATGTATAAAAAAGTGATTACACATTGATCTTTTCATTCAAAATAACAGTAAGATACAAAGTTGTATATGTACATGTTAACATCTTGAGGAATTATCATATGATCCTCATTACAAGATCTATCTAAATAAATGTTGCAATACTGCAAATCCAATAGACCGCAGAATAATAAGTATGAATAAAAATCTGAAACTCCACCATACATCAACTATGGGTACACATATACCTAACAAAAGGCACTCATAGCTGATTGTACAGAAATTCCTCATCCTTTATATGAATTATCTATTCCATCAGAAGCTATTTTGAAAATTGTCATCAACTAATGGAGGTGAAGCATACAAATATATAACTCAGTAGGTGTTTCATAATTCGAAGTAGTAATTATTGATCTATATCATTCATTTATGCTTAATGGACTTATAAAATATCCTACTCATTGTAGATTTGGGGGCATTTCGAAAGATATATTTCTGTCCAATGATATTTTCAGTGAACACGACCTTTATAAGGTTGTTAAGATTTTAATTTTATTATTTTTTTATCTCATCAACTCTGCCAAATTGCTTGTAGTGGTTCGAGTCTAATATTTGTTCATTTCGATTTTAGTTTGTGTAGCATTCTCATACCTTAAATTTTTGAACTTGATGGATTGGTTGGAGTACACACGGGTATGTTTGAGCTCAGGAAAGAGTTTGTGATTTTTAAGTGATTGAAAGCTTTGTGGAGTGATTACATTGCCTTTGAAAGTCAGAGAACGATTGTTTAATCCATTCTTGACCTATGCAACTTTCTTGAATGTTATATTTTGAGTGTTTAGCTTATTCGTAGAAGCACATGCAGGTATATAGTTTCAATTTTAAAAAGATAATTTAGTCCAATTTTCTTTTAGCCCTGTAGAGCATTCTTAGATTTTGTATTCGAACATTTAACACATTTGTTGGAGCATATGCTAACATTTTAATTTTAAAAAGGAAACTATAGCGCAATTTATTTTTAACTTTGCGCAATATTATGATATATTGTGTCACGACCTGGCCCGGTGAGCTCATGTAGACGAGGCGAGAACGAATGTCGGACATTCAGAACATGAAATTTTTATAAAACATGCGTTGAAGAATCTAAAATACTTCAAAAGGAAACTAAAAGCGCTTCTAAACAACATTCCAAATATAATTTTTTTTTAAATTTTTTTTACACATTCCAAATATAATAAGCATTTCATATCATTGCATAAAAAGTTTCGAATATACAAAGGTGGCTATAAAATCTTTTTCATTCATGCCAACCACCCAAAAATTTAAACTACAACTAAAAGGAACTTAAGAGGAACCTGTCATCTGGTCCTCTACGACTGTAAGTGTACCAAGGGCGATCAGCCATTCATAGCAGCGGGTTCTCCTGAAAATATCCCAAAACGAGGGAATGAGTTAGAGCTCAATATGTAACACTAACTCTAACAAATTCATAAACCAATTAAATGAAAATCAACATATATGCTAAAAGTGAGTTAACTCTTCTATATATTTATGAAATGTCATGATTGTTTTGCTAAGTATCACATGCTAGTTCTTATGTATATGCTAGATATCACATGCTAATTCATATGCATATCCTTTCAACTATGTCATGTCCTTTGTCTCATAAATGTTCTAATATGCTTGCTTATTCTTTATCTTATACAACCGTACTGGAGTACCAGAAGTGTACTGATCAGGTACACAAACATATTTTTGGCCATTTATTTTCCTTTCCTCTTTTGCCCCGAAGAGCCATATTGCTCAAAAGAGCTGTATTGTGCTTTTGCACCATATTTGATACTCCGCCTTCAACATGCACAATCATTTAAACATTCTTTTCATAGAAACATAGATATGTAGTGTAACATTTTCATATCAATCATATACATTGAGTATATGACAAGTTTATATGAAAGAGACTTCTATGCATTGCTTACTATCAAATATTGAAACTTTAATATGCATGAGAACATTAAATATGCGTTGCTTTAAATAATGAGGACATTTAATATACATGAGAATATTGAATATGCAATGAGAACATTTAATATAACATTTCAAAACATAAAGGAATATGAGTTTTTAGAAAAAAGAGTTCCTACCTCAAATGTTGCTCCTTGAAAGTGTCGTTTCACCGATCTCTCCTTAATACCTCATCTTTTCAAGTTCTAAGGAAAAGTTACAATATAACTGTCACACCCCAGTTTGACTCACCCTTTAACATTCAAACTGGAGTATAACAAAGAAGGATTGCAACATATCAAACTCTACACTTAATAATAGGAAGCATGTAATATATCTTGCTGAACATCAAACATAATTAAAAACAAATACAGAGCTCTACTAAAACTGTCAAAATTTACTTACATACCAGAAAAGTTTATACATCTATCCTTAAGATCTCCTCTAAGATCTCTTTGTACACCAAAACATATTCACACCAAAAACGATCACATAACAACATAAGCCTCTTATATCAACCCAAATCACTATACCTCACTAAACACCTTACACATTCCATTAATTTATTAATCTCTTTAGGATCATTAAAGCTCATTAACCTACTCATACCCTAAAGCATATTTATCTCATATTTAATATTTTAAAAGTTAATTTATCACATATCTAATAATTTTCATTAACATATCCAAATCTCATGCTTTTATATCAAATATTTTTCTTAATAAAATGTAACTTAAATGCTAATTTTCGGATTTACCTAAATTCCAATTTTTGGAAACATAATTCTTCACTAATTTCATTCAATTTGCATATTAAAACATCCCTCTTACCTAATTATAATTTTAGGGCGTTTAATTTTCAGATTATTACATATAAGAATTAGGGAAAAATAAGATTTTGTGAAAAATGCCCAAATTTCACCATTAGAGCTCTCTTAAGTTTGTTTGGAATCATTTTAGGTAAGCATGCATCAACATTTTTCCAATTAGTGAAAAACCCTAAGAGTTGAACCTAAAATTCTTTGAAGAAATCTTGCATTTTCATGGCTAAAAATTGTTCTTAAGCCTTCCCTAACCTTCTCTCCAAAAGATTTTAACATTTCATCAAAACCCTAATTTCTAAACTCAAAAGTTTTCCTATGAAAGTTTGATTTGTAAGCATAAAAACATTTCTAATAGTAAGGGTAATCTTTATTGTAAAGAGATTTTGGAGGAAACAAAATTTTGGGAGAAACCCTTGAAATTTCCTTAAAGGAAAATCACATGAAAAGCTTAGAAATATTTTCAAGAAACCATACCTTAGACTTTCCCAAGCCTTCCTCTTGATTTTTCCCAAAGAACTCGCCAGAAATCACCACCGGTCGCCGGCTTTCGCTAGCTCCCGCCAATCCTTCCTCTATTCCGCTCGCCTTCCCCCTCTCTCGGCCGAGGAAACGAGCAATGGACCGAATGAATTGGTACCTATGCGGTATGAGGGGAATTAAGGTAGAATTAGGAAGTAAATTACGCATGTGCCCCTCTTCCAAACACTTCCCTAATATCTCATGAAGGGTAAATTGGGTATAAAGGGTTAAAAATTACTTAAACATCTTCGGCGATTTTTAATTTTCAAATCGTGTGAAATTAGGTATACGTTCTTTATACCTTTTCGATCGAAAATTCGCGTAGAATTTAATAAAATTTATTGCGTCAAATTCCGACGACTTTGAAATTTCACCTAATTTCGTTACGGTGCATCGAAATGCGTGCGACGCATCCGATCGACAAATTTCGGGTTTTACATATTGTGTTCGAGCGTTAATCACATTTGTTAGATAATATGCAATTATTTCAATTTAAAAAAAGGAATATCAGTTCAATTTGTATTTAACCCCGCACAGTTTCTTATACGATTGGAGGGGGCGGCCAACCCAACCATTTGGTGCAGCATGGACCGAACAAACCATTTGACTGAGCAGAATATGGAGCATAAAATAGGGAAAATTCGGCCCCCCTTGTGGGGCCCAAAAAAGCTATGATTCATTATGTGAGGAGGAATAAAGAGGGAATTATTTAGGGAAAGATTTTCAATTTAAATTTAAATTTGAGAGGGAATTATTTTGGGAAAGCCCAGGAGAATTAATATTCATTATCAAGGGAGATTGTTTAGGAAAGTTTTTATTACAATTGGTAGGGAATTAATTAGGGAAATAGATCTAATTTGAATTCAAATTTGAGGGGAAACTTTTTAGGAAAAGGGGACTATTTTGGGAGGAAATTAGGGGACTCTATTTAAGGCTAACAATATTGTATTTTTGGGATTCTGCTTTTGTTGTTGAAATTAAAATTTATTAGGATTGTGAGGGCTCTAGCCGGCGGCTAGGAATTTGGAAGAGTCGGATCTTCCTCTCCAATTGAAGGTCCAATCTTTTCTTTCATAACTATTTCAATAAAAAGTGTTCTTGTGAGTTCTTCTTCCTATTTTCTCTTGTTGCCAATTTTTGGTTTTGCTGAAATTAAATTTCAGCTAAGGGATTTTACAAATTATGTATCCAATTATAACATATTCTCATAATTCGTGTTTGAGCATTAAGCATATTTGTCAGACTATATGCATGTGTTTTATTTTTTTAAAAGAAAATTGAAAGTTAAAATTGGTCTTAAAGGCTCCAATATATTTATATGCTTGTTAGAGTGAGAAATTTAAGTCTTATTTATTATTTTCTAATGCACGCAACATTCTCATACATTACGTTCACACATTTGTCACGTTGGTTGGGGCACTTGAGACATTTCATTTTGTAATAGAGATTCTTTTCTTAGACATTTGTCAATGCAAATGCTTCATATGCTTGCACGATTTTTAGTGTACTTGATGACACATTTGTGCAATTTTTAATGCGCTTGATGTGTCTGCATGCATCTTGAGTTGTTTTAATAGAATTTAAAAGCGCATTGTAATGTGTACATATGACATAAAAATATTTGAATTTGATTATTTTTGTGTCACAACATTTGTACGAGTTTTGAGACGTCATAAGATTATCTTCTGAAAGCAAATGTAAGCATTAAAATTATCCATGCTTTAATGTTTGCATTCATATTTTGTAATATTGCATTTTTTAATTATCTTTTTTTGTGTGCTTGTACGAAAATATTGTGAATTCATTGGCAAAGTAGACGAATTTGAGACGAATTACTGAATTAGAAAGTTAGATTTTTGACATTTTGTTCTTTGTCGTTTTAATAAAAAAAAATTTTATGCTTCTGGTCTCACAGGAGTTCAAAGTCTTCCTATAAATATAGGGGATGGTGATTCATTTCTCACATTTCTTACGTTCACTTATGTTCATTACTGAGAGTCCTTGAGATTTTTTAGTGTAGTGGCGAGGTTTTGTTCGCATTTTTAGTGAACTTGCAAGCTTTTCATTGTCCCCTATAAGTACGGTTTTTTCAATTCATTATTCAATATTGTGCTCCTTTATGCTTGCTTGCATTGCCATTTTTAGTGTATACCTTTGGCTTCGTCATTTTATTTGTATTTACATTTTTTTCATTTAAGATTCTATGCATGTATCTTTTTAAGGTCATGTTTAGTCAAAATTTCGGCAACCTCAGGGCATCCTCGCCATGTATGAGTCTAGGCATGCTAATCATGTTAAGAAAGACGTGTATGACCGGTTTCATGCGACATTGCGTATGAAAATTTTTAAATATCCCAAAGTGTCAAGAAAGAAGCATGTGGATTTTTTTGAATTGTTTCATTTTATAATCTAGCACACGGAGGCATTGTCGAGGGCAACGGTGGCACAATGAACTTGTAAGTGAACTTGACACATATTTTTTTTGGTGTAGTGAGAGAAAATGAGGGGAGAGAGTGAGGTTGGAGTCATCTCTCTATTTACAAGAGAAAGAACATATATTTTGCAGAGAAAGATATGTAGAGGAAAATAGAGATAGTTTTAGCTAGAGAAAGTGGTTGGAGATATTTTTTTAGTTATTCTCTCTTTGTTTAGGGAGAAAAAATTGAGGAGGTTGAGGGAGATAAAGGAGATGGAGTTGGTTGTTGACCTATGGAGGTTGGAGACGTGGAGAAGCTGTAGGCGGCTAGCTGGTGGTTGGCGTGGAGGTGGATCTTTAAGAAGGGAAAGGGCGGTTGTAGAAAAGTTGGCCGATGGTGGCAACTTGAGTGGAGAAAAGTCATCGATAGGGAAAGGGACAAGGGGCGGCCGATGTCCAGGTGTAACATCTCACATGAGAGACAAGAGAGGGTCAATATTGGAATGGCTGTTAGTTGTGCTAGTAGAGGGCGAACTGTCGCTTGGTGTGCAAACAAATATAGGGTGAAAGGAGAGGCAATTGCTATTGTTGAGAATGGGAATGCTGAGTGAAGACGAGGGAGGTGATGAGAGTTACAGTTTTTTAGGTTTTGTTTTAGTTTTATTTCCCTTTTTTTAAATAAAAATAGGAATATCCTTTTACTATAGTAGAAGGACAGAGTAAGTGTACCAATAGATTTCAATTTTTTTTTAAAATTTAATTAATTTAAATATTAAAATATAAAATTTAAATTAAATTTTAAAATATTTAGAATAATAATTAATATGTATTTATTTAAATGCGTGTTGATTCATTTGGCTAATTCTTGTCACTCACTTGCTTTGAATTCGTCTTTGTTTCATGTGCTTATGGATTCATCTGCCTTTTCCCTTGTGTGGGAGCCTATGCTACATGGGTGTGCTTTCCTAATAATTTTGATATTTGAGATGCTATGGCCTGATCCATTTCACGAATGGAGGACATTCGAGCTATTTTGCATAAGATCGCTTTCATAGTTCATCATTTTGGATTTCGTTCGCTTGAATCGAGCTTGATGGGTGTTTACTTTTGGTGCTTCTGACATGTTGGCGCAACCCATTTTATGAACAAGACTTTCGGATGGTTTCGCACAACATCGCACTTATAGACTGTCATTCTTATCATTAATCTATGGAGTTGAGCATGGGAAGTATTCCTTTGATGATTTCAATGCTTTAAATGTGTCGATGAGGCAATGTTTGGGTGATTTCGATCACAGTTGAGGTGCTTCAACCTTGTTTCTCACAACGTCACATTAGTTGATTGTAATCATTATCGCACATGCTCGAATCGATCTTGGAATACATATGGAGGACAACAATTAACCAATGTTTGTCTTGTAAAATTAGATTGTTTGTTCAGAAACCCTACAACTTTGCTGCAATATATTTTTTTATCAATAAAGCAGTTCATAATGATGCATATTCATTTTCCCTGAAACTAATTGGACATGCTTTAGAGCCTACCAAGCCTCTCTTTGCCAAGTAGTTCCTTTTTCTGAGTTATTACCAACAGTATTTGATTGGCCATTATACTGTTAAGTGCTTATTTTATGTACTATCTCGCATTTTGAGCGTATCAGGTGGCCTGCTTGTTGAGATGAGCAATAGATTTGGGACGCTTGAAGTCAGTCTTTTATCAAACTATGTTTTTATTGTCCACTTTTGACCTAATTAACTAGAGGATTACATGTGTACGTTAACACAGTTCAATAAAGAAATTTCCATTTATAAGGATTTTAAGAAGAATTAAAAATGACGAAGTTTAGTAAGATTTATCTCGGTTAGTTTCAGATCACTGTCAAACAGAACTAGGCTTTCCAGGCAGTGAGAAGATATGTACTGCTATAATAAGTTGTCAGTGGATCTTTAGCTTCAATACTTTTTCTTCCTCAAGCTTCAGTTTTTTCTTGGAGCTAACCAATGCGTGTCTTGCAAAATTTGATTGTTTGTACAAACTCTATAACTTGGCCGCAAAAAATTTTTTTTTTCTATCTGGCAATTAAGCATTTCAAAATGATACAGATTCAATTGCTCTGAAACTAAGGGACATGTTTCAGAGCCTACCAAGGTCCTCTTTGCCAAGTTATTTCTTTTTATGCGTGATTACTAAGAGTATTTAGCTGTCCATTGTACTGTTAGATGCTTATTTTATGTGCTTTGTGTTTTCTTACATTTGCTTTTTCTTGTCCATTTATTAGATCTTTGTTATATTTTCTCTCTTCCCAAGTTGTAATGAGTAGGTAATGTAACCTCGGTATGTATATTAACTATACTCAGTCATTTTCAGGTAGAGAAACAGTTTCGAACTGAACTCAGACAAAAGATGGAGCTTAAGCGCATGGCTGCATGGAAACCATTATTGGATGAACTTGAAACTGGACAACTGCCTTTCATTTGTCTGCAATATAAAGACAGCGAATCAGTTCAGCATCTTGTCTCTGGTGTTTATATGGGAAAGGTGAGGCCTTTTTATGCTTCACATGTTACAAACAGGTTCAGTTTCGTCCATTCTTAACTAAAAGAAATCTGGCAAGTCTCATCCAATCATTGCATTAGTATATGTAACTTGATTCTGGTTTTTAAAGTTCCAGGTTGAAGTATTTTTCAGGAGTTCCTTTGCATTCATTTTAGTAAATAGTTAGTGGTTTGCTCAGCATGTTCCTGGAAATAATGACAAACCCAATATAACCTTTCAATCTTGATGTATGCCTTATCTTCAATCCTTGGACAACACTAGCTGGATAGTTCTGCTTTATATGTTAAAGTCATGACCTTAAACTTTAGCTGTTTTTTTTTAAGCTAAGAATTTGGTAATTTACATTTATTTAGATGTTATCAAGAAAACATTTGTCTAAGGTAGACATGTATGTGAAACTAGTGCAAAATGACATGATTCAAATGCATTTGAATCTAGGCCTTGATAAACATGTGTGCATATTTTTTAATTTGAGTCCTCCTTATTCAGAGTGTCACAACCCGGTCCTGAGGCTGTAATTAATGAGGTGGGAATAGACGGTCGGGCTGTAGATTAAATTTTCATTTGCTAAATCTATCTCTAATACTCCGAAAGAGCCACTAAAACTTCAAAAAAATATAAACTGATATGAAATGAATTAAATACCTTTCATTCGGTGCATCAGTTTATGATATACATTTTTACCTCTTGTACTCATTTTGATTTTATTAAATTATACATGAAAATGTTAGAGTAATTAGAAGTAAGCCATAGCTCAATTAGTAAAATATGTTTCTAAATTATAGCAACCCAAAATAATTGGAACAATATGCATGATCATTTCAATTCATATCTTAAAGTAATTCCATTTAGATTCATTTCATTTCAAGACTTTTATTATATACATATATAATATTTTTATCTACATCTTTCTTCTTTCTCATAAATAATATAACCATCATAGGAGCCACTGTCTAATTTAGTACCAATAAAGGTACTCATTTTTCATAACTTTTTTTTATTTATGTGCACGATACATTACGTCCCCAGTTAGTACCATAAGACGGTATGTTCTATCAGTCAACATGCACATGCAATCACATATATCTAGTTGTTTTATTCATATTATATTTCTTTAATTTATGCAGTATGTGAGAGGTGAATCATTTGCAATGCCCTCGACTCTTCTTCTTTGTGATTTATAGGGTTGAAACGATTCACTTCTTGTGAGACTACAAGCCAAACAACACCCTCTCCAATTGGCCTCTTCAACTCCAATCGACAGGAGCAAGCTCTTCGTCTTTCTCACGGAAACGTAATGACAATCCCCTCTTTTCTTCCTCAAATCAACATAATGCTTCAGCTTTTGCGATTTCTATGTGATCGAATCGACACCAAGCATCTTCGTCTACTTTGGTTTGGGTTATTACACAGTGAGAGTTAATTTTGGAGAAGGTACGCTATGGGAGATATTAATGGTACATGTTGACTAAATTAAAAAAAAAAAAAGAAATTGAAGAGGTGCAATGTTTCAAAAAATGATTGAAGAGATGCATTGCGCGGGAAACGACACATCCATACGATTAATAAAAAAAATACTAGAAACAGAATGAGAAGAGAAGTTACGTTATGTTATGTCATGCTTCAGTTTGCACGAGGCCCATGCTCACGAGCCTTCAACCCACACTGCCCAATGTCTCCTACGAGCGGTCTTCACCGATCAATAAAGCCGATATAACCCTACTCTCACATGATCCTCTTCGACCGATCGTCCGCATCACCTCACATTCTCGTGTGCCCGTTTCCACTCGTATGACTCTCTCTCCTGCGTAGCCCACTCCAACTGAAAGCCCACACGTGCCCGTCTATGAGATCTCGCGTGCTTTCCTTCACGTCCAGTCGTGATATCCCACAGTTATGTCACATCGACCATCCGTGCATGTACAACCCCTCAACCCGTCTAAGGCCACACAATCCCGTAAACCGTTTGCGCCTGCTCGAGTCTCGATGTGCCCGCTCCCGTCGCGTGTCCGTTTGACTTGATCCTGCTCCGATCCCGAACATGCACAACCCGCAACCCGTTCATCCTTGTGATTGCCTCAACCCACTTCGAACATAATTTCCTCCACACCTTAGCTTCTCCTCTTCAACCGTAAGTGCAGAGAGCTTTCTCATCTTTACTCTTGTATAGTGCCTAGGAATGCCTTTTATTGCCCGTGAGTATAAGGTGACAAAAGTGCTTGTGTATAAGGAAAAAACATATAATAAAAAAGAAAGCATGGAAGATTTGCATCTTTGTATCTTAGATCCGACTAGGAATTCTTAAATTGAAGACCTTGCTTCGTTGTATATTAGATCCGGCCGAGAAGATGTTGATTTGAAAACCTCTTGCCCTCGTATCTTAGATTCAGCTGAGAAGAACCAACAACAAGTGCCGTCTCAACCTCCTTTTGTGGGGAGGGGAGCCGGAAGGTTGCCATATTTTTGAGAAAAAAGTATTAAATAATTAGTTATAAGCAAACATGTATTTTGATCGGAAGACCTACACCATTGTATCTTTATATCTGGCCAGGAATACTTGAATTGAAGACCTCACACCATTATATCTTAGTTAAAGCCAGTAAGAGCTTAACTTGAAGATCATGTGCCGTCGTATCTTGAAGGGACACCTGGAGGGTATCAAATTTTCAAGAAAAAAAGTGCAATTTTAAAATATCTTTTGGGAGTGATTCTTGTAGCATTTTATAATCAATTTGAGAGCCATTTTAAAATAATTTTGTGAGCATCGTTATATCTAAATCATTGCATTTAAATGTATTATTTGCAATTAAAGTTTTAATTTAATTTAAATTAAAAGATAATTGAATAATCGTTAAAATACTTTAATTAATTAAATTGAAATAAAACACAATGAATTAAAATTTTCTCAATTAATTAATTAGTTAATATATTTAAAAATGCAATAAAAAATGGAGTAAAGAAAAGGAAAAAAAAAGAAAAAAAACATAATCAAATGTTTGCACTTAAACTATCTCTGGTACAACAGTCCCATAAAGTCAAACTACAAACTAATAAATTTAAATTCAAAACCAAATAATCTCCCATCAGAGTGGGCTCCAAAATACCTGTTAACAAATAAACAAGAATAAATTTAGTACTGCAACAACGCAACAGTGCTAAAGGAAAAGTCAAAGTGCTGAAACTAAAGCAGTAACGTTGAGGCACAAGGAAAATTGCTGAAACAAGAGAGTGAAATCAAAAGTAACTATTCATAAGTTCAAATCTAAAATCTACAAGCAACTTCCAAAGGAAGCAGTAAGCTGCTCTTAACCAAACTTTTAGTGGAACTTCTAAACGAATTAACAAAACCTTAAGTTAAGACTATAGGCCAGTTCCAATGGAATCAGTAAGACCTATCCCAAGCTAAATTAACAGTTAACTTCTAATTGAAGTAGTAAGACCTATGTCTAATCAAAACCTAAATCTACAGGCCATTTCAAATCGAAGCAGTAAGACCTACTTTAATCAATTTGTTAGGAAAACTTCTAAGTAACAAACCCTAAGCCAAGTTAGTCAACTTCCAATGGAAGCAGAAAGACCTACTTTAACTAAGTTGTTAAGGAAACTTATGAGTGGAGTAATAAAACCCTAATAAACCCCAAATCAAAACTACATGCTACTTATAAATGAAGCAGTAAGACCTATCGGAAGTAACTCACCCTAAAACAAATTCAAACTAAACCTAAATTAACACGTAATTTCTACTAGAAGTCATAAGGCCTGCTTTAACTAATTTATTAGGGAGAATTTCTAAGTGAAGTAATCTATCCCTAATCAAAATCTACAGGAAACTTCCAATAGAAGCAATAAGACATACTCTTTGGGAAACTTCTAAGTGAAGTGATAAACCCCAAATAAAATAAAAATGCAACTTTTAATGGAAGCAGTAAGACTTACTTTTTGGAAAACTTCTAAGAGAAGTGATCAACCCTAAATAAACACTAAGAGAGGTGATAAACCCAAAATTAAAAAAAGGCTGCTTCCTAGGGAAGCAGGAAGACCTATCTCTAACTAAACTACTAGGAATCTCCTAAACGGAGTCGTAAGCCCCACTCCAAATCAAATCCCATCCCAAATCAAATTCTTGGGCAACTCCTAAGCAGACCCGTAAGCTTCATCTTAAATCAAATCCTCGTGCAACTCCTAAGTGGAGCCGTAAGTCATATCCTAAATCAAATTTTTGGGCAACACGTAAGTGGAACCATAAGCCCCCATCCCAAATAAATCTATGAGCAACTCCTAAGCGGAGCTATAAGCCCCATCCTTAATCAAAATTATCGAGCAACTACTAAGCGGAGCCATAAGCTCCATCCTAAATCAAATTATCGAGCAAAGCCTATACGGAGCCGTAAGCCCCAAACTACTAGGCAACTCCTAATAGAAGCCATAAACCTCAAATTAAATAAAATAACGGGCATTCTAATAGACATAAGTCTTAAACTTAAATTATAACCAAAGCACTTAGGTCTACTCGGGATTTTTAAGAGGAGGCAACCCATGACTGCTAATTAGATTCTATGGACACTACAATCAATGGTTTGTTAGCGTGGTTGTTGAAATGTACAAAAATTGATATTTCTGGATTTTTCTCTTAATTTCCATTAAATTCTGAATAATTCTCTCCTATTTTCATCAATTTCTACAATTTTTTTCTTAAAAACATCACATATTGTATGTTATTTTCTCTTCCCACACATTCTTTCTCATATGCATATTCTCCCTTCATAGAGTGCAAATTTGCATTCCTGTGAAATATGGAACCAGAATCTTAAAATTTATATTTGATTCTCTTTTAGTTAGGTAAAAAAAGTAAGTATATTTCTAGAAATTAAAAGTCTATTTATGATCCCTTACTTTATTTTTTCTTTCTCTAGCATATTTTTTTCTGACTTGGTTAGAAAATATTAGGAATGACCTTTCTTTATTAGATTTAAACGAGAATTTGACTTTTAATAGGACACAATGGAGAAAAAGGATTGATGTAGCCGACCCCACGTAGTGGGATAAAGGCTTGATGTTGTTGTTGTTGTTGTTGTTGTAGCATATTTTTAATTATTGCCTGAAAGTGATCTTAAACAAGCATTTTCTTTCTCTACCTATCAGAAACCTCATTAAACACAAGTGAGTCTCAATCCGGGATCTATTGAAAATCCAAAATAAATCCAACTCAAGGCCAACCATTGAACTGTATGTTAGCTTCAATCATACGTGTGAAAAATTTTACATATACTAATTTACTAGCCTTTATTGATAATAATATTCAATGATTGCACAATACTAATATTTTAGTTGCCCATCTCCTCGCTGCCTCACTTGCATCCTCTTGCTCTCTTGCCTGTTGCATTGCCCATTATCTCCCGTTCCTTAGCTCATCATCTCCTCTCTATTTTACATATAAAAATAAGAGAGAGAGAGAGAGAGAGAGAGAGTATTTGAAATGTACCTTAACAAATACATAAAATTATTTCAGGAAGTTTAATTGGCATCCAAACAAATAAGTCTTGCATTTTTAAAATGCATGTATTTCAGATGTTCTGTATTTCTGAAATGAATCCATTATGAAATATCCAACCAAACAAACCCTTAATATATTTTGGTGGATTAATATGGGTCACTGAAAAATTTATTGAATGTGATGTTGTAAAAAAATGAAGACTTTTGTAGCGTAATGTAGGAATAGAATGTACTATGATATCTCTGGATAAAACTTCGAAATTATAGGAGCCAATGTACAGGTCTTTATTATCCTTTGTTGAATTAAAAAAAAATCAGAAGATGCTTTTTTACTTGAAATGGCTATGTTAATGAGAATATTATGTTTTGGCAAAATTTTATACATATTACTGATGCCCAATGAGTGAGAAATTTTCCTCTGAAACTCTAAAATAACAAGAAAGTTTCATTTCAAAATTGAGCCTTCTCAGTTTTAATTTTTTTAATTTATTCATTTAAGAGAAATATTCTTTGTTTAAATATTGCATGTAATGTCTATCAATCGAAGCAAACTAAATTTATATCTTTTTACTGTGGTAAATTAAAATGAGAGAGATTTCTTTTTTATAACCCAAAATAGTAAGAGCACTTAATTTTAAAATGAGCTTTTCTCTATTTGTTTTTTTGAAAAGTTATTCCTTTAATGGAAGGATAATTTTGAGTTCAAGTGAAAAAGTTCAAAATCATGGATGAAATGTTCTCTTTTTTTTTTTCCCATAATTTTAACCTTTTATCATCCTAGTAAACACTTTAAGCAATATTATATAAAGTTCTCTTGAATCTATTTTGAGTCCTATAAATTCAAAATTTATTTTGAGCTAACCCAAATCAATTTTGAGTTAAATCGGCTTGACTAGAATTGATCTCAAATTCAAGTAGACATTGAAATTTTTAATTTTAAGTCAAACTAAACGCCTGCAATCTTGACTAGCTATTAACCTTAATCTATATAATATATAAGACTGGGTATTAATCTTAATCTTTATAATATATAGAATTTTGATTAATCGGTCTCTTCTTAAGATATAAATCCAAATCGAAAAGAATTTTCCTAGGCTTATGAATGTTTTACATCCCAGGCTTTGCATGGGGAACTTTTTTCTTCTAATTTGATAAGTTTGATTGATTGCTGTGTCTCAAAGCGGTTATGCTGTTTATGAAAAGGATGTAGGAGGGCTTGTGATGTATTTATGTTGAAGAACTCCAAGCTGTATTCAGTGGCAAAGAGGACTCTGTAATCTGCAAGTAGGTTTGTTGCGGTTGTTGATGCTGATGTTTGCTTGCTGCATAGATTTTCTGAAGTGATTCACATGTTATCCATTAGCTAAAGTTATATCTGATTTTCCCTCGTTTCTTTATTAGGTAAGAAAGTACATGCTACTGTAGGCAATATAACCGGAATGTTGTCGTGTTTTTACCTGATTTCTCATCTCGTGTAATGCTGTCGGTGTTGATGAGTGCAATCTGTATTTGAATGTTTGTTAGTCACAATTTTGTCTTTCTGTGGTTGTTAGCACAGTTGTATTCATCCATAGACTTCTCTCTGTATGGTTGGAAATTACATTATTTCTATATTTTGCTGCTACAGTTTCATCTAGATCCTGAGAATTCTAACATTGACCCGTCCAAGCCTAAGTTGGCATATGCGGAAGACGAGGGTAGCGGCAAGCCAGCCTATTATGTAGCTTTGGGCTCAGACAATTCTTGGTATCTATTTACAGAAAAGTGGATCAAAATGATATACAAGATTGGCCTTCCTAATGTCTCTTTAGCTTATGGTGAAGCTTTACCGAGAGAAATTTTGAGGGGCCTCCTAACGAAGGAGGAGTTGACGTGGGATAAGCTAGTAGAATCTGAGTTTGGATCTCTATGGAGCACAGAAGGTTCTCTTGAGACATGGTCATGGAGTCTAAATGTTCCAGTACTGAGTAGCCTCTCAGAAGATGATGAGGTGAGAATGTATTGTTGCATAAACTTTTCAAGTTACTCCTGTATTGAATATTTGAATGCCATCCGTATGTCTGCACCTATTAAATTGTGTAAATCATTTAATGTCAGAATAAGAATGTCATATGTTAAAAAAAGTATATCATCATCTACTGATTTTTGAAAATATTGAGGTTCATGAAGATTTTGATAAATAACCCATCTTCATGGTGTAAAGTGGGTTTAAGCAGGTCATTTCTACACTCCATGATAGTTATCTGACAGAGATATTTAAGTTTGACAGTAGACTTATCTACAAACTGGGGGGTCTGAAATGTTCTGAATTTTATTAATTGGGAACTCTTTATCGGTTAAGCGTTTGGAATATCTTTTCAAATCATTAATTTGTTTTTGGCTAATTGCTGGTGATTCTGTGCGATAATGCTTAACTAGCTTTACTGTATTCAGGTGAAAAATTGGTCTGAAGAATATCAAGATGCTATCAACTGTTATAGAGAGCAAAGAAAAAAGGTTTCCCGTTTGAAGAAAAAAATGACAAGCACAAAGGGGTTTAAAGAATTTAAAAGGGTTTTGGATGTGGTTAACTTTAACAAGGAAAAAATTGAGCGCTTAGAAACTAGATCTCATCGTTTAACCAGAAGGATAGAACAGATTGAACCCTCTGGTTGGAAAGAGTTTCTTCAGGTATATGCAGTGTGTTTACTTTTCTGCACATATATAGTATTAAAGTTTTAATGATTATTGCCCCCTTTACAGTGCACTGCTTTAATTAGGTCTTTTATTATTTGGCATTTTCAAAATGTATCTTTGCATCGTCAATTTATCACACACTTAAATTATTTTTCTTAAATGTTTTTTTTTTTCTGTCGTTTATTTTTTGGTTGTTTGGCTTGAATGCTTGTTATGCTGAGTTAAGTATTTAAGCTCACTGAAGTCTTTGCTTGTTAAGAACTTATAGAGAAAACTTCTTGTTTTTATGAAAAAAGTGCTTGGCCTTGTATCATTTGTTTGTTATTGTAAGACATGCCAATTTGGGTTTATTGATTGGTTTGATCTGAATCCTTACGACCTGTGTCCATCTTTTCTTGAATTTAACATTGTTTGTTAGTTATTTGTTTTGAAACACATAAGACCAACCAGAATGCTAACTAAATATATAAGCTGACGTCACCCATTCAAATAATTTTATTAGCTAAAGTGTTTGGATAATAAATAGATCAGTTGGCTTAGTGGGTCATGATTATGTCATATTGATCAACATTATAATTGTGTTGAATCTTGGCTGTATTGGATCATAGTTGGGGTGTGTGTCATCTATTCACGTTGCTCAGCCTGGAACCTACTAGCTTGACCATGATGCAATACCAGACTTGATGCAGGAAAAAATTAGGAAAGGCCCCTAATTTTTGCAAGCAAAAGAAAGGCTTCCTAGGATAATAAGAAAATACATAGAATACTAAAAAAATACGACAAATTACAACTTATACGACAAAAAACAAACTTTATAAACTTTTAAACAAAACATGACATTACAAACTTATGAAATAAAATTCTAAACTTGCATTTCATTGGATTTGAGAAGAAAGATACAATTGACGTCGAACTTGCGGAGAGAAGAAAGAGGTTAGAAGACGAGATGAAAGAGAGGACAAGCTCGAAAGCTTTTCTAGAGGGAGAGGAGAAGAGGTGGAACAAGTTCGCAAGCCTTTCCAAGGAAACCCGTAGGTTTAGCTCCAAAAATACCTCACATAACTCTCTTTTAACATTACAAAACATCACCTATTTATAGAAGAAAATGGGGCAGCCAAACAGTCCTTTTATCTTCATTTAATCTCATTAAATCAGTCCATAATTTATTCCAAAGCAACACCCAAATAGCCTCACAAAAAACCAGGAAAAAACAGCCATGAGACAAGGGACGGACAATAGCCAGGGGAGAAACCGAAGGGGCACAAAGGGGACCGGAACCAGCACCCAGCAAGGGAGAAGAACCAGCCACGGGAAACATTACCAGGAAGAAACCGAGGGGACATAAGGAAAGGAAAGAGGCAAGAAACCACCGCCTCGTTTAATTCGAGCTTACCGGGCTGGGTCGTGACACCGCCTCTCCTGTACAAGTCGTGCAAGCTGCTGGATCCCATGGAGCTGTTTAGGAAGGACTTTTGAGAGAGTTAGGAGGGAAATTTGAATGTAGGGACTGTTTAGAGATTTACTTTTAGATTGTATGCATTAAATAATTTGTTTTCCTAGGATTAGGACATCTTGAATTTGGTTGAAATTTGAGATCTCTTAGATTTAGGTTTTCTTTTGGGCTCTAGCGGCGTCAAGAGATTTGGGAGAGATAGATCCTCCTCTCGAATAGAGGATCAATTGTATCTTGTTATTTTTCGTTTCCATTTCATCAAATAATACAATTTATCTACCGTTTTCCTGGTTTTGTGTGGATTTTTTTTGGAGAATTCTCATTGTTTTCAAAAGATTGATAGGAAATACTTGAGATCTATAAGTGTTTTCTATCAAATTGGTATTAGAACTGGTTTTGGGACCTTTGGTGGGCTATTTTAAGTAAATTTCAACCGCTAGTTTTGAGATTTCAAAGAAGAAAGTTGCTGTTTTTGGGATTTCGAAGAAGAAGAAGAAAGTTGCTGTTTTTGAAGGTCGAAGTCTAGATTTTCCTTCTGTAAATATTTGGGCATCAATGGCGGCCAAGAAAATGGATGCGTTGGAGGAACGCCTCGAAGTGGAGGTTGGACAAATGAAATCTAAAATTTTAGATCTCCAAACTCAAGTTTCAGATTTAATAAAAGATGTTTCAGCCATCCATGATAAGTTCGATTCAAAATTTTCCATCATGGAGGAGATTTTCAAGAAAGTGCTCGAAGGCCAAACCAAAATATCACCGTCGGAGGTGAGGGAAGGCGCCGACAACCATGGAAGTGGGGAAAATCTGAAGCCAATCAGACGAAAGGAAGATCAAGAGGTGGAGATTTTGGAGGGAACAAAAAAATGCCTCCCCTAGGACCTATTCCTAGGAAGGAGTTTGGTAGATGGTATGTGGAGAAACATGAGGGGGTTGGGCGTGAGTGGAGGGATGTTGAATTTGAAAGAAGAGGAGCTGAATTGGAAAGATGGAGACTTGATTATGATCGAAGAGTTGCCGAATTTAAAAGGAGAGGGGTTGAATATGATCGAAGGGGTGCTGAATTTGAAGGGAGGTGGGTTTGCGATGAAAGGTTTGGGTATGAACGCAAAAGGAATGATTGAGACACTTGGGGGGCAACCACCCCCTTGGAGAAGGGGAAATTATGAAGGGAACAGAGGCCATATGAGGGTGCAAAAATTGAAAATGCCTATCTTCGAGGGAGAGGATGCACATGGGTGAATCTACAGGGTGGAAATATACTTTACTGTCAATAGGTTGTCGGAAGAGGAGAAGCTGACGGCAGCATGATGTGCTTGGAAGGGAAAGCTTTAGCATGATACCAATGGAGGGATACGAGGCGACCGATAAGGACCTGGAGGGAGTTTAAGGATTGCCTGTTGGAATGTTTCCAAACTAGCAGGGGAGGGGACTTCTACGAAAAGTTCTTCGCTTTGATGCAGGAGGGGACATTGATGGAGTACCGTGAGCAATTTGAGTACCTTGCCAGTCGATTGGATCAACTTCTAGAGACTGTACTGGAGGGGAACTTTATGAAGGGACTGAAACCAAAGATTCGCGCAGCAGTCAGAGTGATGAAACCTCGGGACTTGTGAGAGTCGATGTAGCTAGCTCAGTTGGTTGAGGATCAGAGGCACCTGAAAAAAGAAGCAGGAGGCAGCAATTCAGGAGGCTTGTACAAGATGATCGCCACCTTTTTGGCAAGCCAGGAGCCAACATTGGGTACTCTTTGGGAGACTTCAAAATAAAAGACTGTCGTAGGAAGAACTGGGGACAACTTCAAGAAGCTCACAAAAATAAAATTACAGGAGAAAGGGGCGAAGGGGATCTGTTTCAGATGTGACGAGAGGTATACGCAGGGGCACATGTGTAAGGACCGAACTCTTCAGGTTCTTGCCATTTGTGATGAAGAAGGAATGGAGGGTGTCGTCTTTTCACCTTGCGGACAAAGTGAATCTTTGGGAGGGGTGTATTGTAAGATCGATCCATTGGATCGGTCCAGTCGGTCATACGGGACCGGCCTGGGCGAAAAGTTCCGCCTCTCCTGTACGAGTCGAGCAAGCCGTCGGATCCCATAGAGCTGTTTAGGAAGGATTTTTGAGAGAGTTAGGAGGGAAATTTTAATGTAGAGACTGTTTAGAGATTTCCTAGGGTTAGGGCATATTGAATTTGGTTGAAATTTGATCTCTTAGATTTAGATTTTCTTTTGGGCTCTAGCGGCGTCTATAGATTTGTGAGAGATAGATCCTCCTCTCAAATAGTGGATCAATTGTATCTTGGTATTTTCCGTTTCCATTTTATCAAGTAATACAATTTATCTACTGTTTTCCTGGTTTTGTGTGGGTTTTTTTGTGGAAAATTCTCGCTGTTTTCCGATGATTGATAGGAAATACTTGAGATCTACAAGTGTTTCCTATCACAATCCTCAAAGCTTTATTCTAAGCTATCAATAACAAACACATCACCAGTTTTGCCTAAATGCTCCTCTTTAAGGACTTGAAACTCCTCATAGACTTGGAAAATGATTAAGATTCTTGCTGACAACCTCCAACAGAAACTCTAATAGGTATCTTTACTTAAATTTTCTTGACATCATATTTTATATATAAATCACATCAGCATATCACGAATGCCATATTTTTCATTCTCATATTCACTTTAAACTATGTGCTTGTAGTTGTTGGTCTCATACATATATGATGAATAACTTTTTATTAGGATTCATTGGTCATAACATTATGATTTTGACTATGATTATGCGGATGGTTGTCATTATAGATTGCATAAATCATCTTCTTATAACTATAATGATCCCTCTCCTATTCATTATCAGAAATTTTAAAATTTGCTGTCTACAAAATTTGTCAATGATATCCTGAAATATGCATCTTCAAAGAGACTTTTGACTTCAGTTCCATGCAATCAATTGCACAAGTTGAACATATTTATTCTATCTCACAAAGTTTTGAATCCTTTTTAGCTTAGCGTATTATCGATGAGGAACCAGACCTTAAGAATAATTATAATTTATCAAAACTTAAACTTTATTATTTCATCTGAGTTGAGTTTGAGATATTATTAAAGATTAAGCCAATGATTGTGTCTAATGAAGTGTGTAAATTTTAAACTGTTGTTCCACCACCTTCATCTTGGCCGCATCCTATATAGTCTTTGGAGGAGAGTTTTTTGTAGGCCAGGTGAATTGATGGATTACAATCAGGATTGATTGATTGTTCAAACAATTTAACCCAAATGACCAATTTCTAATAGGCCAATAAAAAAAGAGTAAAAAATAGGCTCTGAAGGAGTTAAATTGGACTCATTTTAAACTTTTTTTGGACTCTTTTTTATTTTTAACTGAATTTTGCAACTTTTATTATATTTTATTGTATTATTATTAGATTAAATGCATAAAGATGAAAGAGAATCTCATCCTTACTATAGGTAAAAATGATAATGATAATCCCATCCTTATCTTATGTTTTTTTTTTTTTCATAAATAGGACTCCTGTGGACTTTTAGATATGAACCCATTGATAAATAAATTATATGATGATTCCAACGTTTGTTTGCTTCTTCCTTTGATCCAAGTTGCATATGCAGATCACTTCAGGTTAAGCACATGGAGTTTCCTTCATTAATAACAACATTGTAATGACTTTTAGTTTTAATCACTTGCACCGAACTTATGCCTCTTTTGTCATCCATTTCTTTACCTATATTGCATTTCTTGCTTGTTCTATCTTACTAGTTTCTTTTACGTGCAATTCTTAACTTTTACTTTCTGAATTAGGACGACAATGTCTTAATAAGTTCATTATTACTAAAAGTGTGCAACATGGAATATTAATTTTCTGAAATTCTGGGTTGATATTGACTATTCAATGTTCAGATCAGCAAAGTTATACAAGAAACCAGAGCTTTAGATGTCCATACACATGTTATGTATCCTTTGGGAGAAACAGCGTCTGCAATTCGAGGAGAAAATGAACTTTGGCTCGCTATGGTCCTTAGAAATAAAATTTTGTTAGATCTAAAACCTGCTCAACTTGCTGCAGTACTTGGAAGTTTAGTTTCTGAAGGAATAAAAATTCGGCCTTGGAAAAGTAACTGGTATGCCATTTTCTTTTTCTTTATTGTCTTTTTTGTACATAATACTCTGCCCCTTTTGCTTTTGATGCGCTATATTGTGTTTGGCCTTGAAGATTAGTGCAAGAACATCTTAGGGGAGGTGATTTTGTATGTTTGAATCAAAGCATGCATCATCCAATCATGTAGATGTGTTGACCTGCATCGTATAAATCGAAAGTTCTCTCTTGTGATCGAGAGGGGTAATTAACTATAGGGGCTTGCGCCTATAGGAAACCAGAACTCAGATCATAAAGTCCTCGCAAATGAGGGCGAAATCTCTGGGTAGTGTCTTATCTACAAACCCATCTTCCTTCCAAAATTTACCTCGGAACTTAGTTCGTTAAAACTCCCTCGCTCGAATAAGAAAAGAAATCAAGTGAGTGGAGGCCGGGGCCGAATTTTCGGAGCCCACAATCATCCAATCATGTAGATGATAAACCTTTTAACCTCGGGCTCCCCTATAATGGCGTTGGGCTTGGTTTAAAGAACAAGTTGAAGTAGTCTTTATTTCTTACAGTTAGTTTTTAATGCAAGAGATAAAGTTACTGCAGTGAGGGTTCTGGGAGCAATTTATTGGCTAAAGGAAAAAGCCATTTCAGTTATCTATTTTAAGTTGTCAACTCAACTTAAACAGGAATGGAAGTGTCTGCCCTTATTTATTCCGGGCATGTTCTTATTAAACCATAAACCAAAAAATCGACCGAGATTTTTTTTTTTTTTGGGAACAGAGGTATCTGCCTGCTGTCACCCCCATAGAGGAGGCATTTGACGGAGTAACTAATCCTTCAGCGGGCCAAGCGGCAACTAGCCCCACAGGTGCCGGACCATGCACTTACTTTCTCCCCACTTAAGGAGTCGCGCCGCATGAGAGAGGAATCTAACGTGGGTTGGGGAATTCCCAACCACGCTCGTCCACCAACCTAGCTAAGCTCGGTGTGGTCGACCAAGATTTTACGGCCACATGTTATTTTAGTTTGTGCACGAAAGATAGTGATTATCCATAAATCATGATGTCCTTCCAGCAAATAGGGTGACATCACGTGCTGATTGGAGAGAGGGTATTCATGCTTCTTTAAATATATCTGACAACAAACGTCCTACTTTTCCTAGTTAAAGTTTTTTCCTTAATAGCATAAGATTGACAGCTGTATACCTTATTTCTCGTCCTGGACCTAAATTGTCATCAGGAAATCAACCTAATAAGAAAATCAACAGACATGCTAACCTTATTAGGTTGATTTCCCATTACAATTATAAATCCTGTGGTTAAGGTTGTCAACTCCAAGAAGTGCAATATATCACATGAGGGATGTTTCTTGCTTTAAATCTTGGAGCAAAAACACAATGTTGATTTTATTTTGTAGAAATTCACAATAACACAAAAAATATTACATAGTATTATAATATTGAATAAATATCACACAGGTCTTTCATGTTTTGGCTGCACATCATGTTGTTCTAAAATTTTGAAACCCCCTCAACTTTCGTTTTTGATATTTCGTCTAGCTTCACATAGGTTCTTTCGTTAGTACAATCGTCAAATAAGCTAATATTAGGATCTTTTGTGAATAAAATCATCACTTAAGAAAAGGTGCAAATACCATCTATTTTTTCATCAATTTTCCTCCTGATGTCTCGTTTGCCCCTCCTCTTAATGCTGGCTATCTTTAGCGATCTGCAATGATTTTATCTCTTATAGCAATCCAACACATTTTGTCATTACCAAAACCCCATTATTCTCCTCAAGAACATAGTTTAGATAGATCTTTTGAGAATGTCCTAATCTTATAATGGGGGAAGAATCTTGAGGATAAGGGTATTTTGGTCATATGAAATCAATTTTGTTTAATTTAATTAAAAAATACTATATCAATTAAGTTAACAAAATATTTGACATTCTTAACAAAAATGAATCTCTGTAAAGAAGAAAAACAAACTTGAGGGACCATAGTGAAATTCTCAGAAGGATCAAAGTATAGAGTTTCATAAACATGAACTTATATGAAGCGCAGCTTAAACATGAAGGAACTTCATGATATTTAACACCCATTATGAAAATCAAAATATTGAAATGATCTTTGGCATTTGAAGTCAAACATTAATTAGAATTTTTTTTCCTACTAGTCAGCAATATGACATGCATGTGGTGTCATTAGCAATGCATGATATGAACCTATCATTGATTGACCTTCTTTGATCTGAAAGTTACAAAGTGGGTGTGTTTCAGGCTACTTTACAAAGTGATGAAAAGATGCGTTGACTTTGCTTTATGGTATAAGCTCGCTTCTTTGCAGAGGAATGCACAATCTTATCAGTCCACTTCATACACTATTTAAAGCATGCACTTTTAATGGCATTGTTCATTGCATTTGAAAGTAATGAAAACCTGCGGTCCTTATTGTTATTCCCTCCTAACTTCCCTCTTATTAACTTTCTCTAGGCTTAATAATTCCCTCAAAGAAATCATATTTTTACTTATGAAGACAATCTTGGGACAACTTCAGTATTATAGCCATACCTACCCACCAACCTACGTACCTCAGTTGTGAATTCATTCTAACCATCCTCCCTTGGCTTTCTGCTAAGAGAAAGTGGAGAAACTAAAGCCCAATACAAAAGTAAACTCGTAGAGGAACATGACCCATTCTATGCGAAGAGAATTCAAAAATCTTACATTTGCAGTGTATGCGTTACATGAGCTATTTATTGGCAATATGATGAAGCCTCAACATCCAACAAGGAATGTCTAATGTAGACCATTTTATACTCTACCTCTAGCCCCTCCAATCAAAACAACTCAACCTTTGAATCTCCAAATATTTTGAAATCTCACTTCACATGCTTCAAATATATGAACGCCATTATGAGTTTGTAATTATCCCTTTCAGGCTAATTAATTTAGCATCAACTTTGCTAGGTCTTAAGATTAAGGTTTTTTGTTTTGTTTGTTTTTTAAACTTGTGTTGATTTTTTATGACATTAATTTACAAGTGTACTTTAGAAGATGATCTTTTTTCATTTAAAGTTAATCTTTCAAACCCATCAATCTCATCAACTTTAAGTCAAATGGACCAAGTGTTCTTTTGTTTAGCAACAAGTTGACCATCTTGGTCACATTATTATCAGACTTTCCCTTGATCATCAAAAGATTCCTTGCAAACTGGTCCATTTGAACCTATGTGAGGGGTTACATAGATTTCTTGACCTTCTGATTTACTTTAAGAAGATTGTTGAAGATTGTGAAAAAAATCTCCACTCCATTGACTACTTACTTAAGAATGAATTCTTTTGAATGGAATTGTGAGCTTTAGTTTACCATCGACAATCTGATGAAGTTATTTCATTGTAAAAAGATGAAGTTGTGCATGAGCTTAGCTTGCCATCGACAATCTGATGGCCAATTAAAAAGAATTTTAACACTTACTTGAAAACTTATTTAGGGATTGTTTTGTTGGAATACTTTATGGTGTAAAGTAGAGTAAATGCATAAGTTTTTTAAAATTTGGTCTTTGTTTGGATGAGAAGCAAATCCAAGGTAAAGTAATGCAGTGTATTTTATTCTAGTTTATTTTTGAGGTAAACTGTTCTTTCCCAATTTAAGGGAGAACTGTTTACACCGCTCCAAAGATTGCTTGACCATTGTCGACAACCACCTTCTTTACCGCCACCCCGCTACCCGCCGCCACCGTCCCGCTGCTCACTGTCATCCGCCATTGCCGGCCACCACCCATCGTCGACCAGTGCTACTAGCCACCACCGCTGTCGCCTCCATCCACGGTCGTTGGCCTCGACGCCACCATTCTCCTTTGTTGACCACCACTATTGGTTGTCGACCACTACCGCCGCAGTTCGCCAACCACCGTCGGACGCCAGGCCCTGCATCCGCTGTCCTCCTCCGCCGTCCTACAACCACTCTGGGTACAACCATTTTACACTTTACATTCATTTACTTTACTTCAAATCAAACAAAAAAATAAAGTCACGCATTCTTTTTATACTCATCTAAACAACTCTTTCCATTAGACTGTATTCCTTTTTAGGCAACCAAAAAATCCCTTACTTTGTAATTCTAGCTAACAATCTAAGTTTTTGAAAAAAATTGCTACCTTGGGCTGAGTGGGAGTATGAAACAAACTTTTATTTTGAGGACTCCTTATGAAACCAATGCAAATTAGCTCATAATTTGCTTGTGTTTGCTCAGAAAAAAGGATGCAAACCCTGCCTTCTAAGTTAAAATTACATTCTTCATGAGGTATATTAATTTTTAATTAATTAGATTTCTCCCAATATTTATGACATGGTTTATTTAGATCTACGACCTAACCATTTTTTGAGCGCAAGATCTCATAGTTAATTACCTCTCCCACTTGTGATTGAGCACTCTTTATTAAAGATGGTTACTTTGATATGGTTTTAAATTCAAGCTTGATACTTTGAGATTTATTTGAATTAATGGGAGATGTTTGTGGGGGGTGGGGGTAGATCCATTTAAGATCTTATGGTTCTGTCATCCTGAGAGTACTAGCGATTTACGTTCAGGGAATCTGATTAGCAATCATATGTTATCTTCGAATTAGACCAAGATGATTATGTATAGATTTTAGCTATGATTTTAGGGTTTAATTGATTTAGCGGGCTTGTTAACATGGGTAGGGGTGTCAATTTCTGACCCGACCCGAAACCCGACCCGAAACCCGACCCGGACCCGACCCGAAAAAATTCGGGTTCGGGTCAACCCGTTTGCGAACGGGTCGGGTTCGAATTTTTGACCCGTTTGAAAAACGGGTCAGGTTCGGGTTGACCCGACAACTCGTGGGTCGACCCGGTTGACCCAAAAATTTGATCTGTCGCGTCATGATAGCGCTGTGCCGCTGTCGAGTCAGTCAGGCGTCAGGACACAATGTCACAGGCCGTCGCATCGCGTCTAGCAGAAGGCAGAAGCAACGTCGGCTGACTCGCACAGTTGCTGTCGCGTCATGACG